AGATCGATCAGAGACGTAATGGCCTGGATTGTGGAATTTGAATCGGAACAGCAACGGCCAGTCACCGATGCAGATGATTCATTCATCAGCCCGTGCGTATCGAATGACACACCACTGATGATGCCGCGCAAAGCTCGAGTATGAGTGCAGTTGCAAGAATACCGGGGTGGTGATTCGCTCTTTTTCCGCATTATTTGAACGTTAGGCCAATGTTAGACTTTCGAGGAGAACGCCATCTGATTTAGTTCGAAATTCGAATCATTCCAGTGCCATTAGTGATGGCCCATCACAACTTCCACAATGCACAGAAAACAGCTTCGAAGAACTCACTAACGCAACGTTGGCAGAGAGCTGGAATTTAATGCGGCTTTTCCATAATTACGAGTTTTAAAATTGTTTTCAAAACTAAAATTTCCCCAGATAGTTGTATCCAAATTGGAGTTCCGCAACTTCTCCTACGTTTAAATTGAAGTTACTTAACGATAATCTTAAATTCTATTCCAGCCACTCCTCTAAATAGTTGAAAAGGTGTAGTTAGTTGAGAAATGATGAACCGCACACAAGAACTGTCCCCATGAGAACAGGTGGACAACCATCCCTACCGCACGAACCTGGCACAGCAAAGTCAATGGATCCTGTCTGTGCTCATGAGAAGGCCCAAATCACCAACTTGAGCGCCGACTCGACTTACAGCAAGTCTAGTAAGTCACACACTCAACGACATGCCAGAAAGAAACTTCTATAAGGATTCACAACAGCTCAGCAATAGGTCAACCAAGTTTTCACTTGCTTTCCTCGGTATTTTCCTCGAAAACAATCACTATCTTCCCTCTAGCATGACGACTCCTCTGGAGTTGGTAAGCCTTAGCACACGATCCCTTACTGAACGGTAACTCGTCTGCAAATTCGATACGGAGATGGCCTTCAACAGTAAGTTCTCCGAGCTTGACCAAATCCTCGTGAATGAATTGAGCCACCCACATCGAGTATTGAGCTCTCTGGAGGTCGCGACCACTCAGTCGAGACAGCCAAAATCTGGCACGATCAAAAACACTGGGTGTTTCGATAGCGATATACATACCGCCATTTTTGAGGGTATTTCGAGCGGTTGCTTCGTAGTTAACATCCTCCGGGCTCGTGACGGTATCATAGACAACATCGATGGTGCCCGCAGGGCAGTCATCATTGGGGAGTTCGAAGCCTTCCTTGGTGTAGTCCATAACGACATCAGCTCCCAGAGACTTCACAAAGTCAACATTCTTACCACTACAGACAGCATAAACCTTAGCACCGAGTGCCTTGGCAATCTGTACACCACTCGAGCCGGTCCCACCACTGGCACCAATGACCAACACATTCTTGCCGGCCTCAGTAACACCACCCCGTCTAAGGGCCTGTAAGCTGACCAGACTAGCCACAGGTAGAGATGCAGCGACCTTGGGGTCAACCCCTTGGGGCACATGGGCTATCTCACTCACATTCGCCGTCGCGAATTCAGCCATAGAACCAGACTTGGTCTTACCAAAGACGAGATCGCCAACCTTGTAATCAGCCGAGCCAATAGTGACCCGCCCAGCAAAGTCGAAGCCCACTGCTGTACCACGTAACCACCTCGAAACCCCAGGAAGAGCTGCGAGTCTCAAGTCAATGGGATTAGTAGCAGCAGCAAGAACTTTGACTTGAACTTGGGAGGCAGTCGGCAGAGGCATCGGTTGATCTTCCCTCCACCCCATTCCTGAACCACTCGAGTCGTACACGAATGCTCTCATTGATAGAAAACTGAACAAATCTGAGAAACAACATTGTCAATACACTACCTAATGATCGAATACTTCTACGGCTCCTTGTAAGGCCGCCAGCGCTGTGAGGAAGATACGACACAACCGCTGTCCCTTTTCTCATCACAAGGAAATAGCCTTTTCCCTTACCACTTGCCCTCTACTTCATACAACACTGCTCTACTTACAGTAATCTCAATAGGTGTTTACTTTAATAAGTTTTTGTAATGAAAAGAAGAGAATGACAGAAGTTACCAGTCGACTGACCATCACGACTGTAGCAGCAAATAACGCTTTAGTGCAAGACACTTTCAATGTTCCATCTCGAGGATGATCTTCCCCTTAGCTCTTCGACTCTTCTGTAACTCATAGGCCTTCTTGCAGTTCTCCTCGCTGAAGTCCAGCACCTCTGCGAACTGAATCACGAGCTTTTTCTCAGCGACCAATTTAGCAAGGTAATCCAAATCCTTAGTGTTGAAGTCCGAAAGGCACATGGAATAGCCCGACCTCTGAACATTGAAGGGAAGACTTTTCGACAGGATGAACCTCAACCAATCAATACGGCTGGGGGAGTTGATAGCCATATACATACTGCCCTTCTTGAGAGTCTTCCGAGCGGTCGGCTCATAGTTAACATCCTCCGGGCTCGTGACGGTATCATAGACAACATCGATGGTGCCCGCAGGACAGTCATCATTGGGGAGTTCAAAGCCTTCCTTGGTGTAGTCCATAACGACATCAGCTCCCAGGGACTTCACAAAGTCAACATTCTTACCACTACAGACAGCGTAAACCTTAGCACCGAGTGCCTTGGCAATCTGTACACCACTCGAGCCGGTCCCACCACTGGCACCAATGACCAACACATTCTTGCCGGCCTCAGTAACACCACCCCGTCTAAGGGCCTGTAAGCTGACAGACTAGCAACAGGTAGAGATGCAGCGACCTTGGGGTCACCCTTGGGCACATGGGCTATCTCGCAGTATTAGCGATCGAATACTCAGC